CTCTTTCTACAGCATGCTATGTTATAAGGTTGTTGCGATGGGGAACCCGTGAATGACAGAGATGCCCACATGCACGCCGCCATCAGTGAGCGGCATCAACAGAGAGATACAGTATTTGTACAGTCCGTCAGTAGTGTATGTGGATGAGGACTGTACCTAATAGAGCATACCTACATGCATGCCACCATCAGTGAGCGGCCACAACAGAGAAGATACAACATTTGTACAGTTCTTCAGCAGTGCATTTAGATGAGGACTATACCCACTCACATGGCTAGGGTTCCAAATCCATGCATTAACCTAGTCTGATTGACAAACCAGAATAGAAGAAAGAAAAGAAAGAGAAACAAAGAAGAAAAGAAAGAGATACAACATAAGATACAGATAACAGAAAAGAAAAGAAAGTTCTTTTCTCAGTATAGTTTATTATTCTGCATATGTATTATGCTACTTACATGATTCAATGTTTCTTATGTACTCGACGATGTACAATTTTATTCATTGTCTTTGCACGTTGATAAGTAGCAAATCAGAGTATTAAAAAAGAATGCAGAATATCAGAAAAGAATGAAGAATATTATCAGAGATTAAAGTGAGAAAAGGAAAATCAGAACATGAGTAATGGAGGAAAAACAGTAGTACAATTTGGTTTACTTACTAAGCAATTAGTGCTCACTTCGTTATTCTACTGCTTTGCAGGTACTTGATGATTTACAATCGGGTGATACGTCAAGAAGCAGAGGAGTTTGGCGGCATTGTCCAAGACTACCTTGTACTTATTAAAGTATATCAGTTATTTTGTGTATATATTTATATGAAGTAAAATTAGAATTTTCGGATTTTACATTATATACCTCTATGTATATATGGTTGCAAAAGTTATTTAGTGGATTTTATCATATATTTCTTAAAGAATTACTAGCTAGATAGTATATTACATTTGGCGTGTGAAGCTCAGGTGGAGCTCAAGTGTTCTTCAGGTGTGTTCCCAGGGAGTTCTAGAATAGGGAGTTCTTTTTGCTGTAGCTAAAATCAACTTTGAACTATATCTTGTAATGTGTTTTTAACTTAGTAGACTACTTTGATCTGGACAATGTCCCATGGATGTAAGCTAAAAGTGGATTTAGTTGAACCATGTATATGGTTGTGTTCTTAATTTTTTGCACTTGTGTTTGATGTGTTCAAATTGGAAATGTTTTAATCTACTTTGTAATTATTCCGCTACACTTAAAATGGGTAACCACGCTTCAAAATGAGTTAAATCTACAACTCTCTCCCCAACAAGTGGTATCTGAGTGTGTTGTGATAAGTTGCTTCAATTGATCCTTACCTATTTTGATTGTTTTCATGTGCATCTGAGTGGTCTAGTTGTTGGATGAAATCTAATATGTGTTGCTTTTTATTTTTAGATTTATTGCTTGTCTGCGTGTGCATTGCTGTTTGTTGTGTTAGCATCTGTCTGATTGTTTTTCGTCATGAGTTTCTTCACTGAAGGAGGATCTGCTCATAGACCACCTCTGTTAGAAGGACCTAACTATTATACATGGAGACCTAGGATGTGTGCTTTTCTTAAGTCTATAGATGAAAGAGTCTGATCCACTGTTGTGAATGGTTGGACACCCCCGGTTATTGTTGAAAATGAAGTGTCTAAACCAAAACTGAACGAAATAGAGACAACAACGAAACCAATATAACAATAAAATAAATTATAGACAATAAACAAAGAGAAAATAACACGTGCCATTTACCCTGGTTAACCCAATATGGGCTATATCCAGCTGAGTCAATATTATTGTAATACTTTCTCACCTCTCTCATTTACAATGAGTGAAATACCCTATGATTGCTATCACACTCATAACAAGAGAAAAAATATGTTTATATGCTAGGTTTAAAGTGACAAAATCTAGTTTTACAAGGATTCATATTCCCAAGGCCATACTCAATAAGGAATTAATGACTTAAAGAAATCCTACAGCGATTATACATGGAAAAGGCCCAAACCGCCTACAGGCCTAAGGGCGCTACCCCTACGACCCCCGCCCGCTCACCAGAGGCCCCTGCCTACTGATCGGTCAGCGAGACCCCCAAATACGTTTGCGTAACCCATTAATGCTAAAGTAGTCGACAACTCCAACAAAAACCGGTTGCTAGTTGGACTGCTGATGAGTTAACGCTTGCAAACTATAACTCTAAAGCCATTCATGCCCTTTTTAATGTTGTTAATGTGAACCAAATAAAAGTCATAGCTAATTGTGAGCTTGCTAAAGATGCTTAGGATAGACTTCAAGTCAAGAATGAAGATACTAGTACCGTTAAAAGAAATAGGCTTAGAAGACCTGTCACTGATTTTGAAAATCTGAACATGGAAGAGGATGAGACTATAACTGATTTTTGTGGTAGAGTGTGTGATATTACTAGTGAATGTTTTGCTTTGGGAAGAACATATACTAATGTTGAACTTGTTAGGAAAGTGCTTTGCTCTATGCCTCGGAGGTTTATTCAAAGGTCACTACCATTGAAGAATGATGAGATGTGGATGCTATGGATATTGATGAACTCATTGGCTCTCTCCAAACCTATGAACAAAATTTGCAACACTGGGATAAACAAAAACCGAGCAAAGGTTTGGCTCTCAAACATGAGGTTGATTCTAATCCTTTTAATGATTGTGATTTAAGTTCTTTGGATGATGAAAATTGTGCTTTGCTTACAAAGAATTTTGCTAAGTTTCTTAAGAAAAACATGAAAAAGCCTCATAGTGGTTATGGTCGAAAAGCTTTTGTAAAAAAGTCTTATGACCATCAAACCCCTGGTACCTTTACAAAGAAGTTGTCAAAAGATAAAGAAAACAAAAATAAAGGTATCAAGTGTTTTGAATGTGAGGGCTATGGTCACATATAATCTGAGTGGGCTAACATACTGAAAAAGAAGAAAGGTAAGGCCATGACTACCACTTTGAGTGAGAGTAAGCATGATGAGAGTGATGATGATGATTCAAGTGATGATGAAAATGTTTTAGCCTTCATCGTGAATCAAGAAGACGGTAAGAGCGAGGTTTCGGATGACATTGTTGATATCTATGTTGAGCAACAAAAGACATATGATAAAATATATGACCAATAGCTAAAGGGCGTGAAAAAGTTGCAATCTCTTGGTAACACTACAAGAAATATATTATATTGTGACAAAATTAATTTTATCAAATGTTATTTTGTCACTTGTAATAAATGTATTATGATAAAATAACGAAACATCACATTAAATATGACAAAAAGAATATACAATAACTAAAAAAATATTGTCATAATATTTTATCACAATAAAGAAACCCATGAGAAATATAGTGAAGAGAAACATTTTTATCATAATATTTCTTCACAAATTTTTGGTGCCCATTGTTTATTGAGACAAACATATTTTGTCATAAAAAATTTTAGTCACTAGATTTATTTATACATGCTATAACTACAAATTATTTTGTCACAAAAGAATTTATTTATTATTACGAAAAAAATTGTCATAATATATGCTGAAATAGAGGTATTAATGACCAAATGTTTGAGTTAAAATTATCCAAAGGAATGAGTGCAATGACATATCATTAGACCCAAGCCAATAGTGGACCCTTTGTAATTTATAGCTCATTTTTGTTATATTTTTATTTTATTTATTTTTTCAGAAAAATACAAAAAGGCCACCAACAATTATCTACCATCTAAGGGGCTTTTTATTTTTTGGTCTTAAAAATCTAATTTTACTTGATTTAGACATTTTAGGTTTGTCTGTTTTTTAAATTTTATATGATAATCAAATAAAATCAAAAAACCAAAAAAATTGGCTTTTATCTTAATACTAAAACATCTTAATTAATATCATTTTTATTTGTCAATTATAGCCCTATCAAATTTAAATAATTTCATTTTTATCAAAATCTTTATATTATATATTTTTGTCTTTTTTATTTATCATAGTTGCACAAATCAAAATCAACCATAAAAAATGCAATTAACAATGGCAGAACCACATTCACCCAAGCTTCAGAAAAAAATTTAAATTTAGTATAGAAAAATATGATTTTACTTCCTATAAATTTAGTTTTTTCTAGCCACCAAAATTTTTGAAAGTAGTACTTTAGCCCCTATAAGTGTAACTTTGTAATTACTTTCTGGCTCTGTCATTCAGTAAACATTAAATTCTAGTGCCCCCAGAATAAATTTTTTGGCTCTGCCCTTGGCAATCAACTTGCTTGGAATAATTGATCAATTGTTCATATAACAATTGTGAGACCAAATTGAAAATTAATTCTTTCAATGATCAAATTAATTTAGTTGTTTTTAATTTTTTTGTTATAATAAAATTTTAATTATTACACAAACACAATGTAATAACATAGTTATCATTAATTATTATATCTTTATTTTATTTGTTATTTTTATAATTTGAAATAGTATAGTTATCATGTATGTAAAAATATAGAAGTAACTTCATAAGGACATATGTGTCAAAACACCAATAAAAACAAACAATCAAACACTTATAATTAGACAATGAAAAAGAAAAAATATACATATCGAACAGAATAATACATTCAAACATATTCAATAATCAGGACCATTTAATTTTTAGATAAAAAAACAAATACCACCTAAATTTCAAGTTGAGTAAAATGACCTTCTGTTGGTTCTATAGAAAATAATTTCCTTAAGAAAACATTTTCATTTATCGACTTTACTCCAATTAAGACGATAATTTCTTAATAAATCATATTATTATGATATTATAAAAATCCCTTTTCAAAAATATTTCAACTCTTTTTTGTTTTAATAAGATTTGTTAAATTCCTTATTCAAATAAACTCTTAAATTTGATTTAGAAAATGTCAAATCTCTCCCAATCTAATATGAGATGGGCCTGTAACCCGAGCTTCGGGTCAATTTAAGCCTAGCCCCGAAGCCCATTTCTTTCTTCTTAAGTACAGCTTAAATCCCTCTAGGTTCAACTGCGGCATCTCTTCACTCTCTTGGAACTCAACCACAACAACAACAATGGCGAGCACCAAAGTTCAGAGGATTATGACTTGTACGTTTTGTATCCTTTTCCTCTACTTCTTTGTCTTTCAATGACTTATATTTGTTGATTAACTTCTTTTTTTTTTTTGGCTAATGTTTTTGTGGGTTTGTGTGTTTCTAGAACTTGATTTTCAGGTTTCTTCAAAGCGTAAGTGATTTCCTCTTCTGGGTCTGCTTAAAGTTTGTTTTTTGTTGATGGGTTGATGAGTTTTGGGCTTATTTTGGCTATTTTTTGTTTGCATATATTCAGAAAGCTCGCCTTCAAATTTCGCTTTTTGAACAGAAGGATTTGAGGATTGAAGGCCAAATCATTGTAAGTTTTTATTTTTTTTTGTTTAAAGATTTTTTCATTGTATAATTCTCATTTTTGTTTTTTAGATTTCAAAGGGTTATTAACTTGGAATAACTTAGTAAGATTTTGATGCTTTGTACTTGGAATTTTAGTTGGTTTTTCTACTACTTTTAATCATAATTTGTTGCTCCTGTCTGTAGTGGAAATTCTGTACGGAAAAAATTGAGTATGATAAAGGAAGAAAACCACTTTGAATAGAGTGATTCCTGTAAACAAAAAGTTAAGACGAAAAGGCATGAGTTTAATTGAGAAAAACAAAGATATTATGAATATTTTTTTTCCTTAACGCACTTGGGATAATTAACTCACATTACACTTATGTCTTTGGTCACGCAATACAATGTCTGTTCCTTCTCCGCCCTTAGGGCATAAAGACACTTGTTTTAGTGTTCTTATTTGAAGAAATAGGTAACTTGGAAATTTTTTTGCTATCAATACAATTCGTAAGAAGGGGGAGTGTGCTTTGTGAATTTTATTGTACACATGAATAAGTTGATCATGGATTATCTTTTTTTTTTTTTTTTTTTTTTTTTTTTCCTTTTATGAATGGTTGATGATGTTAGAGTGGGTATTTGTTGTTTGCAGTTTTTGGTATATAGTTGTAATCACATTGTTTATGTGGATAGGATCTGAATGTTGTCTGCTGTTATTTGTTAGTAAGTGCAAAGATTGGATTTGGAAGTTGCTTACATGCTCCACTTTGCTGATAAAGAGTGTTTTTAGATATAGAGAAATTCACATTCTTTTGCTGAGTAGGTTTGTTTTGTTAATGTAAAAGCTTGATATGATTGTTTCTGTGGTATACCTATCATTTTGTTATATTTTTGAAGTTTTTCTTTCATCTTTCATCTGGTGATGTTATGGTGATGTGTTTCATCTTTGCTGTTCCCATCTATTTATAGTTCTCATCAAGTATACACTCTGTATAGTACTAGGTTGCAACGTCGTCACTACCCCATATAAAATTGAAAAGAAAATAAAGCACCGCAACACAAAGAAGAAATAGAAGTTAAAAGATGCATCTTACTGGCATTTAATTTTGCAATTTCTTGCTCTGTTCCTTTATGATCTAACTCCTTAGGATGCTTAGCTTTTAATCTCCAGCCAATCATAAATATAGAAGTAGGCTGGCTTCCTGTTGAATTCAACTTTCGAACAGCTCAGTTTTCGTATCTGTGGTATCCTTTCAAGCATTCTGCTCTTCTGTATTCTATAAGTTTAGTTTGTTTCATTGACGCATTTTGCTACTAATTTTTATGGTAGGTTAGGGTTTTGATTGGCAAACACATAAGAATATCATTCTACTCTTAAAGTGGCTCATTTGTTTCAGCATGTCATGTTGTTGCTGACTTTCCAACTAGGAATGCATAATATTACTTGTATTTTCTTCACTTCGTTATCTTCAATGATAAATAATTCAGTTATAGAGTAGATATCATTTTCTTGTATCAATTATTCATGTTTCAGCTGTCAAATCACGACCTGTTGACCTTTAATGCTCATTTTTACTTGAAGCTTGGTGTAGAGGTTCGAGTTGCACTCAACAATGTTTATAGGGAAAAATTGCTTCCTGTTTAAATCTTTTTTTGGCTAGTTGGATGTGATATGATAACCTATTAGCCATCCTTATCAAGGTTTTTTTTTTTTTTGGTCATAGATAATCTTCTACTTAAGGTCAGAGCAATTTGTTTACACAAGGTCAAGACAGATACAAAAGGTAGTTTCTTCATTTGTAACGATGGTCAGCCAATTTTTAATTATCTCAACTTATCTTGTCTCTTTGTGAACATTTCTTCTCCTTATATAAGAGAGGCATGTTGTTGTGCATGTGACTTGAACTGATGTTTAAAAGGGGCGTGAATCACATATAACCATGTAACTTGTAGGAAATGAGCTCTTTGAAGCAAAGTAAGCCTCATGATACATTTCTAGGAACATGTGATATTTGGCTTTCAAATGTTAAATTATTCCAATTGCTTTAGCGATGAACATGCCTAAGATAAGAAATCTTTATCCATTCAATTCATTATGCCGGTAGTCTTTTGTTGTTTTCTTGCTTAGTTCACTATGGATCATGCTTTAAACCTTTCCTTAACTTTTCCCAAAATAAGTTAAGACAAATGATATTATTTATGAAATACCTTCGTTGTAAGCATTTATTAGATTCTTAATTCGTTCAAAATGTGATTCAATTTTGTTATTCATTTTGGTTTTACAGGGTTTGATGAATACATGAACTTGGTTCTGGATGCTGAAAAAGTCCAAATCAAGAAAAGGACCAGGAAGTCATTAGGTGATTTATTTTCTCACTTTTTTTTAATCCCTCTAATAAAATGCCCATGCTTAAATCCTTTCTTTATTTTCACATGAAGGATTCTTCTCAAAGGAGACACATAACTCTGATGATGAACAGTAAGTAAAGTGAAACAACTTTCACTTCTTTTGCTTTCTTTCGCATATTAAGGAATTTTTTTTTTTTTTTTTTTTTTTTTTTTTTTTTTTTTTTTCTAAATTGCAGAGGGAAGTGATGATTCATCCTAGTGATTATTTATATTGGCATTACGTGCCTTCGAATTAGCGTGTTGATTGAGCCATTTAGACTATGCAACTATCTTTATATACCGGATGGATTTCATGTATGATGAGCTGCTTTAATAGCGGCATAAGACATTAGATGGTACCGCCGTTATGCATATTTTTATCATTATTTAGATGACAAAAAAATTGTCACGCCTATATTATTTTGACAATAAAAATTTGTCATGTAAAAATATTTGTATAAAAAATTATGTCATGCTATTAATTTTTTTACAAAATTATTTTCGTCACTATACAATTTTTGACAAATAATATTGTCACATAAACATACATATGGCAAAATAAATATTGTTGACAAATAAATTTCTGTCATTATTAAAATTATGAGTAAATAATTGTCACTATTCATAATTTTGATAAAATCAATTTTGGCATAATATATTATATTTTCATTATAAAGCTTATCATTTAGTTTTTAAATATAAATCAATTGTAACAAAATATTACTTGTAGTGATAAAAATTGTTTTCTATTGTTACAAATAATTTATCACAATAAATTAGTTTAAAATGATAAATTATTATTGTCATAATAAATAATTAGGTTATGGTGATCAAACATTTTTTTGTCACCATATATTTAAGAGTACGAGTTTAATGTGATCAATTTATAGTCACAAATTTGATTTTTATAGCAAAAAAATATTTTGTTGCGAGAAGCCCAAATTCTTGTAATGTATTGAGAATGATATCTTGTTGAAGCAAAAGAAAGCATTGTCTGAAAAGATTATTGTTTTACTGCTGAATTAATTGGGGCTAAGGCCATCATTGATAAGTTGAATGCAGATTCTCTAAAGTTTGATGAAGTGCTTGGTCATGGAAAATCCTTCAAATGTCGGTATGATTTGGGCTTCAGTCCTGGTGCTAGCACATCGAAAGCTAGTGCAAGAACGTTTGTGAAATCCATTGAAACTCCTACTGAAGGAACTGTTGTGAGACAGGTTATGAAGATATCAAAATTCATTTCTATTTACCATTTTTGTAACAAGAAATGTCACATCAAACCCAAATGCTTCAAACTTATTGCTTATCTGAAGAAAGTTTTAAAAAATCATAATTTTATTGCTAATGTAAATCATAATGCTAATAGTGGTTTTTCTTCCAAAAGAGTTTGGAAACCTAAGGTTGATGTGAACTGTTTTTTGTCTCATACTTCTTTGCTTGCATTTCAAAATGATATTTGGTATCTAGACAATAGTTGTTCAAGGCATATGATAGGTAATAAATCTTTTTTGACTGAACTTAAATCGGTTGATAGTGGACATGTCACTTATGGAGATGGAAAGAAAGGTAAATTTTTTTGCAAAGGGTCAATTGTGCTTCCTGATTTTCCTATTTCGAAAGATGTCTTACTTGTTGAAGGTTTGAAAGCAAATTTGATTAGTATTAGTCAAATTTGTAACAAAGATTTTGTGGTTCGATTCTCAAAGGACTAGTGTCAAATCCTGAATGGTAAAGGTGTTTCTCTACTTGAGGGAAAAATGTCAAATGATAATTGTTACTTTCTTTCTAACCGTGTGTCATGTTTTAGTTGAAAAACATATTTCACAAACTTGTGGCATGAGGAGTTTGGTCACATGAACTTCAAGGACTTGGTAAGACTCTCAAAGAAGGAAGTGGTTAAAGGACTACCGAAACTTGAATTTCCAAAAGGTAATGTGTGGTCCATGTCAACAAGGTAAACAAACTAGAATATCTCATAAAGCTTTATCAAATCTCAATACCTCATGTGTTTTGGAATTGCTCCATATGAATCTAATGGGTCCTATGCAAACTGAGAGTTTGGGAGGTAAGAGGTATGTGTTTGTTTATGTTGATGATTTTTCAAGGTATGCTTGGTTGATTTTTTGCGTGAGAAATCTGATTCATTTCAGAAATTGGCTAAAAGGTTGCTTGTTGAGAAGAGTTCTAAAGCCACAAAAATAGTGAGAATAAGAGTGATCATGGAAAGGAATTTGAAAATGCCGATTTTGCTATATTTTGTGAATTGCAGGGCATATTCCAAGAATTTTCAACACCAAAAACATCTCGACAAAATGGTGTTATGGAAAGGAAAAACAGAGTGCTTCAAAAGATGGCAAAGGTGATGCTTAATGCCAAAAAGGTCCTTCCAAGACTTTGGGTCGAAGCTGTCAACACAGCTTGTCATTTTTCCAACAGAGTTTACTTTAGAAAAGATAATGTTCAAACTCCCTATGAGCTGTGGAAAGGTAAGAAACTTGATCTCTCTTACTTTCATGTGTTTGGATGTAAATGCTAAATTTTGAATGATAGAGAAAAGTTAGGTAAGTTTGATTCTAATAGTGATAAAAGAGTTTTCATTGGTTATTCTTCCAACAGTTATGCATTCAGGATCTATAACATACGTTCTTAAAAAGTTTTAGAATCAATTAATGTTGTGTTTAGTGATGCAAAAGATTTTTTAGAATATTCACAAGAATGTGAAATTCAAGACATGTCTACTCCTCGTGTGCCCACATAAGATGGTGTGAACACTACTGAATCTCCTCAACCTAAGCCTTCGTCAAATGTGTTATCACCCACTTTCGGTGCTATAGCAACTGGATCTACTCCTTGCAAAGAATCATCTTCTGATTCATGATTGCAAAGTGAAGGAGTTGAGCTGGTTGTTGATCTTTTTGATGAAAGCATTCAAAGGAGAAACCAAAAAAGAAAAGATCCACCAACATGGGTTCAAAAAGCTCATCCACCTTCAACTTGATTGGAGATCCAAATGAGGTACTGATTATAAGAAGGAGAAGACAAAATGAAATTAATCATCTTTATTATGTGTCTCTTGCAGAGCCGAAGAATGCCAAACAAACTTTGGAAGATGAAAATTGGATTGAGGCCATGCAAGAAGAATTAGAACAATTTGAAAGGAATGATGTGTGGATGCTTGTACCAAGATTAGAGGGAATCAACATAATATGTACCAAATGGGTTTTCAAAAATAAAACTGATGAGTTTGGTAATTTTGTTAGAAGCAAAGCTAGGCTTGTAGTTCAGGGATATACTCAAGTTGAGGGAATTGACTTTTATGAAACCTTCGCCCTCGTTGCTCGACTTGAATCAATTCGCTTGCTACTGCCTGTTGCCTGTTGCCTCAAGATTAAATTGTTCCAAATGGATGTCAAAAGCGCCTTCTTGAATGGAATGCTCACCGAAGAAGTGTATGTTGAACAACCGATTGGCTTTCAAGACCCCCACAAACATGATCATGTATTCAGATTGAAGAAAGCACTTTATGGATTGAAACAAGCCCCACGGGGCCTAGTATGAAAGGTTGACAACTTTCCTTCTTGAGCATAACTATGAATGAGGTAATTCAGACCAAACCCTCTTTATCAAGTGTGCTAACAATGAAATTTTCAATTACATTGATGATATTGTGTTTGGTTCTACATCTCATTCACATGCACTTGAATTTATTAGTTTGATGAAAAATGAGTTTGAGATGAGTATGGTAGGGGAATTAAATATGTTTCTTGAACTTGAAATTAAACAAATGGATAATGGCATGTTTGTTTCCCAATCAAAGTATGCTAGAAACGTGTTGAAAAGATTTTGTCTGGAGAATGCAAAGCATCTTAAAACCCCTATGAGTGCTACCCTTAAACTGTCCAAAGATGAACATGTTTGAGATGAGTATGGTAGGGGAATTGAATATGTTTCTTGAACTTGAAATTAAACAAATGGATAATGGCATGTTTGTTTCCCAATCAAAGTATGCTAGAAACGTGTTGAAAAGATTTTGTCTGGAGAATGCAAAGCATCTTAAAACCCCTATGAGTGCTACCCTTAAACTGTCCAAAGATGAACATGGTAAAAATGTAGACAATAAGATGTACTGAAGCATGATAGGTAGTCTTCTTTATAACTGCAAGCCGACCTAATATTTGTTTTAGTGTTGGTGTTTGTGATAGGTTTGAAACGAACCCATTTGAGTTGCACTTGAATGCAGTGAAAAAAATCATGAAAGATGTTTTAGGTACGTGTGATTTTGATCTATGGTACTCATTGGATTCTAACAATTGTTTGGTTGGATATAGTGATGCAAATTGGGCAGGAAAGTTTGGATGATAAAAAGATTACTTCGAGTGGATGTTTCTATCTTAGAAACAATT